CGCTGGGACAAAAAAAAAAAAGGGACATAATGCTCTCTAGATGCAATGGGATGAAAGCCAACTATGAGTCAAGCCTTCTCTTCCACCATCAGTGTCTGATCTTATAAATGCTCATTTTCTTTGAGTGGGCATAAATTCTCACAGAAACACCAAAACCTGATACAAAGTCTCCTCGGAAGAGTGGAGGAGGGCCAACTACATATTAATCCCCATGGTTTTGGAATGAAATGTCCAATAAGCTCAAATAGGTGTAAAGTCAGGTGTCCACATAATTTTAGCAAAATAGTGTACTACAACATATGAAGGAAATATGCTTTTATTCATGGATTTACTAGGGCATGGGGTTTAATTACAACTTAGTTATAGTATCAGTGAAAATGGTGGCAGGTTTTACATGGTAGAGGTTTATATGCTGAATAAAGTTAATCTGTTATCAGGGGTTATATTTTATAAACATATACATGAAAAATTACTATTACTGTTTCCACTGCTAGGAGGTGGTGGTAGAGGTCAAATTGCAGTAGTTCATGATGTGTGGTTGAATAAAATTATGTACAACAAATCAAAATTTTTGTTGTTGTTTCTAACCAGATTACTATGAAAAACATAATTATTATGTTTCAATTATTCTTTATAATATAATTCTTTTATAGTATCCTTTATAATATCATTGCTGTTCAAAGATAAAAAAAAGTATCTCTAAAACTGTAGTTCTACAGGAGAGGGCAAAAAAAATCTTCACTTTTAATGTAAGTTAATGTAAGGAGATTTTATTTCAAGCATATTTGTAGCATTTGTAGTACTTAATTCATCAGTTTCTTTATGTAACACTGCAAGAATTTGATTGTGAATGTTCGCTACACAGCATGAACGTTAGTGCTGTATTAGATGATTACGCACAAACAATGTGTGTAATCATCTAATCATGCTACTATAAAAGTGATGGATAAAGAAGTTTACTATGATTTACTGTTTCCTTCTAAGTAAAGCATTGAAAGGACTTATCAGTTTGCCCCATACTTTACATAGCAGTAATAACTACATAGCAGTAGTACTACTAATTAGTGCTAGTGGTACTAGTAATTCTCTTTAACAAATCATGTGTTAAGGTCAACTAACATAATAACCAAGATTAACTAATATGGTAACTATAAAGCCAAGTGATATAATAACTATAGTTAACTGATTAAGATAAATTAAGATTAAGTGATTAAAATTAAGTGACCTTTATTAGTCCCACAATGAGGAAATTTCACCTCCACATTTAACCCATACACACTAGTGAACACACACACTAGGGGGCAGTGAGCATGGTGAGTCAACAACCATGTGTTTCAGGAGTGGCCTAATACTTAAACAGAACAAACACGTTTTCACATTTATATGAAGAGCTGAGAGCTCCAGGTGGCCAAGCTGAAAAAAGTTCAAATCAGAAAAATCAAGTAGCTTTGCAGGCTTTTTTACTGAGCTGATCATTCTGGGTTAGTTTCCCAAAATGACTTGTTCTTAAGAATGTTCATTAAATAGTGATTTTTTTCTAGAAAATCTTCTGAAATAAAGCAACACACAACCTCATTCATAAATTAATGAGAAATAGATTTAATCATTGATGTGTTTCACTTGCAGGCAAAAGCCGGAGTTTGCAAACTTGAGCAAAAATAAATAAGTCAAGTCTACAAGAGTACCTCAAGTTTTGTTCTACAGGGAGATTCACTCAAAAAAGGCCCTGAATATTCTGCTGTAACTCCCGTTAGGATGAAGCAATCTGAACCAAAAAAAATATGCTACATACCTTGACGTATGTGTAATCGATTGCATTACATGCAATGCTAGAAGTGATCTCCGTTTTCTGCCAGACACATGAAGGCGTACGGGGGTATGCATCCGAAAGTTGCAAACGGAGGTTAAATGTTGCAACGGCTGTCCAGCGCCTACCTCATCACTCTGACGCAGGGGCATCCTGGCTTGTTCAAAGCTCCATATACTGAGGAGCACATTGCACGTTGTTTCATTCAGATTGCTTTGTCCTAGAGAGAGTTATTGCAGAATATTTGGGGCCTCTTTCAAGTGAATCTCCCTGTATATGTCTCTTCTTTAATCAATTTTCTCATGTAAAATATTATCAATCATGTCATTTTGTGTTTATTTAATAAATAATCCATGTGATTGAGGCATTCTTTGTGGGTGTGCATATATAATTTACACTGACTGGCAAAAATCACTGACAACGGGTAACTCTTGACTCTCATTTGAGGTTAAAGTAATAAAATTAATTTGATTAAATTGCTTATTTCCTCAACAAAAACTTCTTCATGCATTGTTTACAAGCAGAGTTGATTACTGTAATGCTCATGTCTATATAGAACCATGACCCTTAAAAAAACCCTTTGCTTGATTAAAGGGTTCTTTGCATGATGAAAGGGTTCATTGGATTGATTGAGTGTGTTTTATATGGTTCTATACAGAACCTGTTTGAAAAGCGTTCTATATACCACCAAAAAGGCTTGAACCTGAAGAGCAGTCTCTCTCTAAGCATCTGGTCCTGCTAATTCGAAACTGATGGATAAGGAAGAGAGTCCCAGCCTCACCTAAACAGGCCAACCTCAATGTTCTGCAAGCATTACATTTTATTCATAACTTTATTCATGATTTTTTACAGGGCAGGGTTTTTGAGCTGTTTTTAGTGGTCAGTTTCTGGATTTTCAAAACAGCATTAGCCAAATTAATCATTTTAATAAAGCATAACTGGCTGTTTGTTTACAGTAAAGGCAGGCATACTTTATGATGTTTACCGTGATTGGTTGTTTCTTTATAAATACATCACTGATAGGATTACTGGGTTTTTGTCTTGAATTTTGCAGTTCAGATTTGTTTGGGTTTAAGAGAGTAACATCAATAAGATTTATTTTTTCCAGGATATAATCAGTAACCCAATTATATATTTAAAAAAGTAATGAACAGAGAGTCATTTGTAATGGATCACTTTTTGATATTGTTTGATTAACTACCAACTCTTTTGGTTATTGCTAAGTAGACTTGATTGTTAACATAAAACTTACTCGTTAAGGATCCTTTAGCAATATAAACTATGTTGCTCTATGTATTTTCATACACTGCTGTTTTACACTGTTGTCATTATATTTGCTCTGTGTTGTCCTGAGTGCACAGACGTGGGACAGCTGTGTGGGTTTTTTGCCTGTTTCCTGTTTGATTCACACTGGATGTAGGGTGGTACATCGATGTGACTGTATTGTTGGATCAATTTTCTGATTTTTATCAGTATTTCATTACACTCGTAGGAGTTATATTAATTTATGCCAACAAACATTTCTTACATCATTACAGAGTGAAGTAGTCTGAAACAGCAAAATCACTTTATTACACTATTACTTTTTATAATTACACTATTCCAGTTACTATTACCAAACACAAGTACAATACATTAAAACATAATTGTCATAATTGAAGTGAAGAGTATCATAACAAAAAAGGCAAATGCAAAAGGAACTGCAGATCAAAAAATGAAAGCATATAGTAACTAGCAAAACCACAAGGAATGACATTATAGAGTACATGCACATAAAATGTATGTATTCCAATAACAGAAAACAGCATTATATATATATATATATATATATATATATATATATATATATATATATATATATATATACAGTGAAATACTCTGCAATGTCAATTTTGAAAGCATTTTTTCCAGTTTGGTAATGAGACAAGATGCATCTGCTTACCTCACCTAATGATACAGCTAACGCTCTAAAAATGCCATACAGAACTGGATTCCCAGCCCCTGTGAGCACAGAAATATTCAGTTTTTACAAAATACCTTTTTCAGTGACAGTCACTGCAGCTGATTTCTGAGATCTGTGTTCATTCTGAGCCACACAGTAGTAGGATCCACTCTGTAGAGCCCTGTAACTGTGTCCAGATCCTACAGGTGAGCTTCCACCTTCTTTAAACCAGGTGTAGATCTGCACAGGTGGGTCTGCATCACTGCTGTAGGTCAGAGTCACTCAACTGCCCTCTGCCGTTTCACCAGAGGAACTGATGGACACTGAGATGCTATTTGGGCCATCTAGAGGTAAAATGACACATTACACTTTTTGGAGGTGCTTTTCTGTTGAATAATCAAAGGAATAAAATCCTGTAAATCCACCTCATGTTCTATTGCAGATAGCTGTCATTAACTTTAGCATATAATATAGAAGATCACAGTACTGGCAGCTTTATGAATAATTTCACTAAATCACTCAGAATTACTGTATTTTTTTCTTGGGATCAGAAAAGAAATACTGACTTTATCAGATGACATTGGATATGGAGATTTTCAAAGAAAGTTATTTTTGGCTTTATTGACTGAATCATCTTACTTAAAAAAATAAAAGTCACAGCAGTTCAATGTGATGTTTCTATTTCTGTTCTGCTGTTTACCACAGTACAATTAACTGTAACTATATGCTATCATTATTACATTAAAGGCATAAGTATGTGTGTGTACATCGCTCTAGTCGGAACAAAACCTTGTATCTCCAAAATGGTAACTTTACAGGAAGAAGAAAAAACGACTCTACTTTTAATGTAAGTCAATGGAACCAGACTCTTTTCCAAGTAATTTTAGGCTGTTTCTTTTGGTCCATTAATCATGAAATTTACACACAATGTAAAGGGCAACAGGCATTTTCAAACTATCTCAAAAACTGAAAAACGACAAAAATGGAGATACGAGGTTTTGTCACGACAGCAGCGACATAAAACACAAATAAAAAGTAGGATAGTAAATATGTAATAAGCTCTTCTGGTAAATCTTCAATTAATTACCAAACTCTTCATGAGAGAGAATTTCTACAATTCTACAAATTATGAGCAGTGTAATGAACGATAACAATAATTTAACCTGTTATACTTCTGTCCCACAAACACAACTTGGTTTCATATCATATCTAGCTAAGAAAGGGGGAAAGGTTACCAGAGGTTGGGGATTATTCAGCCAGAAATGATAACTCACCCACAAACCATATTGTTTACAAATAACTAGCCTGTTTATTAATTGGTATAAATGAAGTCTAATCAGCAGGTTGGCATATATGGATCTAATACAGGAAATTAAGCACAGAATACACAAGTTTTCGGTAAGTTTTCGTGTTCTCTGGTAAGAATTGTGACAGATTATTAAACCTAAAAGGGGACAAAGGGGGAGGTTTGACCCATTCTGGGGCTTTGCCGTTGGCAAGACCACATTCTCAGCTGGAGACAGCAGACCATGTTGGTTCAGGTGGGATGCTGGTTTCACTCATGACACGTCACTCAGGCGGCCTTAAGGCTCTGTCTGAACTCCAGGATCAACTCTGATCTACTTTCTCTAAGCCAGGCATGTCAAACAGGGGACCTTCCAGGCCAAAGTGGGGTGGAGATTAGCATTTACCCTCATCTAACTCTCTGAATTCAGTTCATGAAGTCCTTGCCAATTAGCTGATGAGCTGAATCAGGAGTGTTTAATGAGGCAGTGTGCTGAAGTCTGCAGTGTTTTGGCCTGCAAGGACTGCAGCCTGACACATGCTTTTACGACTAGACTTGGGACGTCGTAATGTTTCGTTGGCTACACAGTAGTGATTCTAAATCCTAACAAGGATGTTGCGCAAATATACAACTAACACAACAACTGAAACAAATATGTAAACAAACAGAAACTTAAATGGCAGATCTGAAAAAGGTTTGAAGCTTAGGCCAGCTATCCTTTGTTTCAATGGAGTTCATCAAACTCAAGGCAGTTCTAGTCCCTTCAGAGAAAGTCTAACATAACCGACTTTCAATTCTCTAATTTAAATCAGCCTTTCATTGACTGAATCAATGTTTTAGACTAGAGTATGCGAGCAAATACATTTCTATACCTTTACTATGCTATGAGAATGTTTATTCCTGAGAGAGACATTCTGATTATAGTTTCGTACAGAGTATTACTTTTACTAGCAGGCAAACAGATTTTTGACAGACAGAATTATCTCCTTGTATAACAGACAAAAAAAAATAATAATAAAATAAAATAAGATTGTATGATAAACAAATGCATGCATTTTCAAAACTATTCTACGCTACAAATACTCATAACTAAGGCAGCTATTAGGAATAAGTCAAGGTGCTATATTTCTAACATTCAAACATTTCTAGATTTTCCATTAAATAGATCACAGCATTTGCTTCCCATAGTTGAGCATGGCCCCTGCTACCACAAGGAAGTCCAAACTGTAATGGGGTGGCTTGCCAGAGGTGGGGTTTGAACTCAGGCTGTCTGGGTGGTGTTTCAGAAGCCAACTGGGTGAGCCACCACAGAATTCTGGAAGGCAGGACCCAAACGCTAAGCTTCTGTGTGATTGGAAGGTATGATCGACATAATATATAAAACCGCAGCGACCGGGGTTCAAACCCACGCCGCCGCGTTAGTAAACCGGCGCGCTACCACTGCACTATAGAGGACGCATCACATAGCCCCCGAAAACGGGTAGAAAACGAATGGCTGTATGAAAACCCACCTGCTAAGGCTTAGGCGGGAAAAATAAACAAAGGACGCCAGAGGAAAGACTGGCTCTTTCAAACACTGAGGAAAGGCTAACTGAAATAAACTACTATCCCAACAGAAGAAAATGCCCAAAGGAGAACAAAGAGGAAAAAGGACAAACTTGTTCCTTCTCTTCAATGTGTATATATATATATATGTATATATGTATATACATGTATATATATATATATATATATATATATATATATATATATATATAAATGTATATATATATTCTGAAAAACTCTTAATTTCTTGATCTTTACTTGAACTTGACTACTAAAAGTCTCAATGTGATCCAGTTACGGTCTTGACTTGCATTCAGATCTTGTGATCTTGACTACAACACTAGTGTTTCTGCTTAAATGTTCATCACAATCACTACAGCTAATGAGTGTGTTTGTGCAGTGCTGCTCTGATCTTCACAAGGCCTGTCAGAGCAGCACTGCTGTGCTAGGATCTGATTCTGAGACTGAAATATAGAACAGGGAGGAATCTGATCCTGAAGCAGCTCTGAGAGGAGATGAGCAGCACTTTATACATTTGCTGTAAGAGGAGCAAATAGCATGAGTGAGCTGACCAATCAGTGAAGAGTGACCGAGTAAAAGTCCTTCACCAAGTGAAAGAGTTTATTATCATCAACATTAATGCTGGACTCTGGAAGGAAAAGTCCACTTCATCTTCATCTTCCTCGGTCACTGATGATGAAAAGAATGGAGGACGATGCAGCTTTCAGTGATCATCAGTGGAGAAAATGAATGGCATCATCAGTTAAACTCAAACCCACAGTGCTGTTTGTGCTATTGTGCACGTTTAGCATTAGCACTCAGAAGCTGAGCAGTGGTATCACATCATGGTAAAAAGGAAGTTCTAGTGTGAAGAAATTGAGCTGCTGGTTAGTCGCAGTCATGCACACTACCTACGCAAAACAAGGTGGTGAAAAATCTCTGATTTAAAGGAGAAAATGTTCATCATCTCAGAAGTGTCTCATTAATATTCTTCAACATGGAGATGCTCTTCCACAAGTTTTATGATAAGAATAAGTGTATCTTGTATATATCTGAGGAATGAAGGACTGATTCAGAGAAAACAGGAAGAACAATTGTCAGGATGTGAAAAGACAGCAACAATTTAACCACATTCAGCTGAACAGATGAACAGATGAAGCTCTTCTGTTCTCCTCATTTGTTCTTTGGGTTCGGGAGGTGAACATCATTTAATGAAGGTAGGAAAATCCTCTTAGTGTTTGTTCAATAGGTAAAGAACTTATAGTTATTGGATACAGAAGTAAACTAATATTACATTTGTATTGTCTTTAGGTTAACAAGTGTGGTTTGATCTCCGATAATTTTAACTATAAAAGAGAGACACTGAGACACTCTGATAGTCAAGTGTACTCATATAACATAAATGATATAACACTGGTGTTGTAGTTGAGATGAGTCCGAGACAAGACTGAGAGATTTATAAAGATTTCTTTTTCAGAATATTAAACCAAAAAGAAGAAAAACGGGAAACCTGGGGAAAAACTATACAATATTTTGTACATTATAACATATAAACCTTAAAAATATTATTAATTATTATGACATTGTGTCTTGGTCTATCTTTGTATAATTACATTTGGCGCAAATGTAGATTTACATCAAATGATGGTAAGGTTCTACTCTGTCCCTTCCTTTCTAAACTTACTCAGAATCAGGGGTTCGGCCCAGTTCATTGTTGAGTCGTTTTAAATTAACCTGTAAAATATGCAGAGGCAAATTTTCATTAAATATGGGGATTTTTTTTTTACTGTATAGTTCAGGGGTCAGCAACATGAAGCTCTCTTTTACTGTCCTGTTGCGGCTCCACAGCAGAATTAGATTTGTAGGTAAAAATAAAGTGATCCTCTTCTGCAGTAAAATAAAACTCTGCTGATCATTCTAACACAGTTTTAACAATAAATGGTCTTAAATGCTGGAGTTTAACCGTGAAGATTGGCATGCAGACTGCTGGTCACCATAGCAACATAGACGACAATCTCGCCTAGCTAGCAGCTAACGAAAAGACAAAGAGAGAGATTTAAGATGAATATTGATAATTTGGAGATGAATGGACTTATTTGCATTTATAACCACTCCAGCTGGTTTCCTGAAATGCTTAATCTGCAACAAGATAGTGTCAAACACTAAAAAGTCATAAAGCTGAAGTCAGCTTTTCATTCATCAGCTTCTTGTTCAAATTTTTCCACCTTAAATGGTGCAGCAGTTACATTGTGGCGTTTCAGGTACCATTTAAAGTGGGACGAGAAGCTGACTTTAGCCCCGTAAAAACTTGAATGTTGAGAGACATTTTACAAGAAACTTTTTCACTTTTGAGAAAAAGTTTCCTGCTGGAGATGTGAGAAAAAGCTATACCTGAGCTAAAGCTTAAAGCAGAGCAAAGTAAGTCTGAGACATATTTACTGCCAAGATGGTAAAATGGTCATGAAATGTTGTGGCTCCCAAAGTGGGTTGATTTTTGTTAAAAGGACAAAATGGCTCTTCTTAACATTTAGGTTCCTGACCTTTGGTATACTGCATCTCACATCACAGCCACTCACTAGACTGACCACCATGAGCTACACACAAAGGACTAAGCAGTTCTAATGAATGCAAACTTTATAACATTCTTTCATGAAGTATTTAATAAAGAGCAAACAAGAGTGAAACTAGTTTGTGCACCACCCTTGGTGCTGAAGATGTCCCCCCCAGCCTGTTACAAGCAGCAGTTAAAGCAGTAAACTAGTAATGTTTATAGTTTACAGTTATGCTGTGTTCACATGCGTTCAAAACCTTCCTTCTGCACCTCGTAGCTGTACATGGCTGATGGCGGCATGAAGCCACACAAATGTTGGCATGGTGATTGTGGTACTGGCAAAATGGATGACTATCAGAGAAGAGCTTTAGGAGTGTAGATTGTTTGTTTATATAAGGTGGAGAAAGGCAGGGGACGCTCTGTACACTTTTGTTTTTGTTGAATACTACTCATCTGAAATTCAACAACGTGATGTTTGGCATCTATGTCTCCTAAAAAAATAACATCCAGTTTATTTCATTGCTGTGCTCAACAGCAAAAGTTGGGAAAATTAAACTCTTGATGGAGTTCCACTTACCGCTGCAAATTCTGAAAATGGAACATCCAGTTTGCCATTGTCTGTCTACCGCAAATATGTGACCACATCATTACTCCTGAGAGTAAGATGCTACAGCCTGCAGCCACCACAAGTGGTGGGGTGGGGAGGGGGACACAGCCCCCAGGGTGTCTCAGGCAATCTACTGTACCAGCATCCACCAGAAAAAGATTGAGCTGAGATATTTAGAAACATTCGATAGAAGAGATGATAGAATTTCCTATTGAGGGTTTTTAAAAATTTGTACAATGAACTCTACAGTGTGTCAACGAGTTGGATCGTTCTTCCACATTCTATCATGGACAAGCCATGATTGATGATCTGGGGCCATATTACAGAAACTTCTTAACTCTGAAATCTTACCTGTTTTGTCACCATGACAACTTCAGTTAGAAGCTGTTCCAGAACAACAGTTCTTAATTTTGTAATCTTATCCATTAACTCCAGACAGGAAAACAGTATTACAGAAATATCCTAACTAGACAAAATTTCCTAAATTCTGTCCAAACTTTAAGACCCCAGATGGTCTTAACTTCTGTTTAACCACGGTTTTTATTGTTTTATGCAGTGACAGGCAGCACAGTTCACTATAACTAGCAAAATGACGTTATATTTATCTACACTGAAAACAGGGCTTTGACTTATGAGTTTTTTTTATCTCCACCGTCCCCTCTTATTAGCTTCAAAAGTCTTAATGTTGATAAAAACTCATCAGATACAATATTACAGTGATGGTGGTGAATAATGAGGAGACAGAGCTGAACATGTGTCTGTTTATTAGGAGGAATAATGTTAGCACCGTCAGCCAAAGCATTTGGGAAACTGAAACTGAGGAGCATCTTCACTCTGATAAACAGCACGAAGCGCTGACACAATATTTAGTTCTGTTTGACTTTTCACATCAGTAACGGTAGCTAACGTTAGCTGTCGGGCTAATTAACTTCAGTGTTTTGATGATTGTTTCAGCTGTGTGTGTATGGTCGGTTGCTAGGTAACAGACATGACAGTTGATTGTCAACTTCAATCGAGTAGTTTAAGATTTCCTAACTTGAGATAAGGTGGTGTGAGATAAGATTCTTAAGATTTGCTTCTGTAATACAAATTTGTGAAAATCTTTCTTTCAAGAGCACAGAAAAAAAGAAGAAATGAGTAAATGTATTTCTTTTAAGTATTTAGGATGAAATCTATAAAAGTCTGTTGTAGTGTCTGAGGGAAATTTTTGTTTCATGTGTTTAGAGTTTTGTGGTGGTGGTCAGCAAGCTCCTGTTTAGTACCATGTTGTAGCTGTTTTGAAAATATGGTTTCTGTATGTACAATGACGTTTAAGTTACTGACAAAAATTGTAAACCATCATGGAAGATTCAGGTGAGATCCTCAACCAGCAGAAAACAGATTTTATTTAAATGTGTATAGAAAAGTTTTATTCTGTTTAAAGGTTTTGTTGATATTCAGGAATGGTAGAAAAAGTTGGGTTTCCAGTAAGCTCAGGCTGAAAACTGAATGTTTTCTACCATGGCACTCAGCTGATCGCAAGAACAATTTACTTGTCCACCTTATCCTGAGACTGAGACAAGACAAAGTCCAAATAATGTTGGAACTGAGATGAGACCAAGACATTTAATTTACTGTAAATTGGCAGAACACTACATAACCAGTCCATATTACTAATGTGAAGCCTGTGAAAAACTGCTCCATAAATGAAAGGCTTCTAATGGACAGTGAAGTAACTTAGAGTTCTTTGTCTGTACTTGTAAAGCGATTTGGCCAAAATTTGTTGGTTATTTATGACCCTTGAAACAGCATTTATGAAATAAATAAACAGTATTTTGTTGTATATAATCATACAGGTTTCATTTATACAGGTTTTACTCAGAATGGCTTTTACTGCTTCTCTGGTGCTTCTGCTATTTACCTCAGGTAGGTCAGAGCTGTGGCTTCTCATTTTTATCTCCAAATAAACTCAATTTATGACAGCTGATTATTCAAACTCAGCTGAAATGAACAGTCTTAGAAATGAGCTGAAGTGGAAACTTTATGCAGTATTTTTACTGACTGAGACCCAAACAGTAATAATTTACACATTTCTGTATTTTGTATTGCAGGAGTTGTTGCTCAGAATGGGTGGGCTGTGAATTACAACTCTAAATCTTTCTGTGCTCTAAAGGGTTCTGCAGTGACCATAGAGTGCACTTACACACCTCCAAATAATCACTCAGTCCAAAAAGCTTTCTGGACCAAAGAGCTGGTTACATCTGTGTTAGAACCTCCTGATCTGTCAGATGATCCAGAGTACAGAGGCAGAGTTCAGTACCTCGGAGATGAACAACAGGACTGCGCTCTCAAGCTGAGGAATGTGAGCGAAAATGATCAAAGTAAATACTACTTCACATTTATAACAGACCAACCTGGAGGAAAGTATCAAGGTGAAGGTGGAGTTGATCTTTCGGTCACAGGTAAGATCCATCAGCAGAAATAAGACACTGTACACTGAGTTGATCAGCACACTGAGGTGTTTAACAGCACTGTATTAGCAGTAGATCATTAACTGTCGTAGCAGTTATCATACAGTTCAGATGAGGCTTGTGCTGCCTTCAACACTGATAATGCTGTTGTGAGAAGGGGAAAGAGCTGCTGTCCTGCGCTAACACTAAGCCTGGCCATTCATCTGATCAATTAGAGGAAATATAGATATAAATTAACATTTACTGAAAGTTCAATTTAAATGCAACGTTTGTGTAGCAATATTTAAGACACCAGTGATTCATTCATTCACTAAGCTAGTGTGAGTCTCCACGGTATGAGTTTTTCTCTTGTTCTCAGATCTCCAGGTGGAGGTTCCTGAGAGAGTGATAGAGGGAGATAACGTTACTCTCACATGTAAAACCACCTGCAGTCTGACAGTCAGACCAACATTCACCTGGTACAGAAATGGACATCCTTTATCCTCCAGTACTGACCAACTCCACCTGCAGCTGGTCAGCAGGGAGGATGCAGGCAGGTATCGCTGTGCTGTACTGGGTCTGAACTCTCCTGAGGTCACTCTGAATGTCAGATGTAAGTACAGATTCATTCATTCAGTCTCAGAAAACAAACACAGCTGAGGGTTCATGCTGAACTGTTTGTGGTAGAATTGAATCTAAAGCTGATGTATCATCTCTTTTCTTTCTTTGTAAAGCAATGTATCAATAAGTAAATGCAATAAATATAGAAATCTCTAAGGCTGTAATGAAATTCTGACACAGGAACCATACAGCCTTTAACAGTTAAACTGTTGTGGTAAAGCTTTATAATACAGCCTGAGTGTAATTTCCCAGAACTTGCAGCGTAACTTCTCCGTATGAATCAGTACATATAAAATACTTACCAGTTTCTACAAGTAATTAAATGTAGGTACAGCAGAAGAAAATGAACAATTGGGGATCTACAGTGTAACTTAGCAACATTTACCATGTATTTGTAACTCATTACAGGCAGGTCAGAGTAGAAAGAAAAATTCTCAAGTGCTCAGCTTTATAAGGCTTGGGTTATCATTGGAGGACAAAAAACATAATATAGTAATGTAATATTATACATACTAGAATCATTATTACACAATACGCAATAATAAGGCATGCAAAGATTTACAGAAACCACAAGGTAAGTGCTGTTCTCCCATTCTTACTCTGTAAGTACAGAAACAACAGGGAGAGGGCTGGATTATGAAGTTTCCACTGTTCTCCTGTTCTTGCTCTGTAAATACATAGAACAAACAAAGTATGTGCTGTTCTCCTGTTCTTACTGTCTTACCTGGTAAAAACAAATGACCACTGTAAAAAACGGCCGCATTTCCACTATCGAGCTAAATGGTTTTCAGGGCTGTACTGGGCCGTTCCTCTCTGGTCTCTGGTCTGGACTCATGAGACCAGTTACGGTTTATTTTGCATCCGTTGTGCTAAATCAGAACCAAGAAAACTACACAAATGAGTGAAACTGCTAACAGGCTAATAGCCACATACACACACCACTCATCATGAAACACATTTGATTTTGTCTGTCACTCCAACTCTAGTCTCTCGGCGTGCTCTCAGATTCTTTATCCTCTAAACGGGTGTTATTTGAGCAACAGTTACTGAAACAGCCTGTACTGCGGTGAGTTTCACCTGTAGCCGGATAACTGGTTACATTAACATTAGCGTTGCCTGGCAGGGTGCAGCTCAAAGCACCACAGAACAATTATAATTTTTATTTTTCTGTCACTTCAACACCAGTGATTCGAATTTGTGCTCTCATATATATGAGTGTTTATTCTCTAAACGGGTGTTTACTGCAGTGGGAGGCACCATGCATTCGTGTTAGCTTAGCCTAGCAGGCTACATCTTAGAGCACTACAGAACAGGTCAGATTTTGGCTTTCTGCGACTCCACCGCCAATGAGTTGACTTTGCTCTCAGTGTTGTAAGTTTTAATCATCTGTACTTGGGATAGCAGAGCAGTGAGTCGAATCGAACCTGCACTGTGGCTGTGCATCTCTTCAGTTATGCTACATTAACAAGCAGAGAGGAGCCAGCTAGCATTAACTTGGCTAGGAGGCACCAGTTCCAGACACCATGGAACAGGTTTTATTTTGTCTTTCTGTCCCTCTAACATCGGCCACTCCATTTTGCTTCGACCTGAGTCATTATCATCAAAATTTGTATCAGTTCAGCTTTTGTTAGTCAGAATCAAACCTGTTCTATTGGCAGCATGCTAGCTAAGCTAACACTTACCAGTTGCTCTCTCCTGGTTTTCAGTGCCATTTAATATTTAAAAATTGGTGTTAGATTGAAGCTTTGACGTTATTAAATGGTGGGTTTAAAATCGTGCACTGCTTTCATTTATTTGCCCTCCGTGTGAGCGAACTGATCTTATTTGATTGATTTTGGGTTTGAAATAACACAGCAGGATGCAGTGACACAATACCAACATTAACCTAGAACCAATCAGTGAATAGCTACGTTGTTCCCCTGCAGTGAAAAAGAGGCCACTGTCAAACATTATAGGAGCTGTGCCCATTTGATGTTACAACATGTTACAACAAGGGACACGTGACTAGCTGTTTGGTTCTGTTAACTTTCGTGTCACAAACAAACACCATGCATTATCATTAACAACACACCAGAACTACATTTTGACAGACAGTGAGAAAACTCCAGGGTGATTAAACAGAATACATACTTACAGAGAACAGGAGAACAGTGGAAACTTCATAATCCAGCCTGGAGGGCTGGAGGGAACTTAAAGGCCCAATCCCATTTCTTCTTTTTACCCCTACCCTTGTTTTCGAGTGTCACACTAACCCCTTGGAACAGTTACAAGGGGTTGTGGTTAAAATATTGCCCTACGAAATGGGACAGCCCTCAAATAAAACATTGCTTCATTAACAGGCTACTAGTGCTGCTCTGTAGGCGACCTGGCTCATCTTCAGTGACAGCAGAGAAGGGTAAAGTTCAGCAACCTCACTGCTGGGCTTTAGTTACATTTAGGGCATCATATGCCTTTAAAGAGGGGTATAAGACAATTATTTATTATCGCCCACCGCTAATTCATTGGTTATACGAAGCTGAAGCTATTCACCAGGTTCTTGTTCGAATTTTCCCGTTTCACCTTAAATGGTGCAGCAGTTACATTCTGGCGCTTCAGGCATCAGAACTGCCTTTTTAAGGTGGAATGGGAAATTTAGCTAGCTAGCTGCTGAGACATTAGAATGCTATTAGCGATGTTTTTATGCTTGTTATGAAGAAAACAACCATAATACATTGAAATGACATTAAACTAAGATAATACACTGGTTATCGTAATTTTTTTAACACAGAAAATTCTCACATTTGTGGGTTTCTTTAGTCGCTCGCGCAGCCATCTTGCCAGTTTTTCTTTTTTTCTGATAACACTCCGTTTGGAGTGTCCCTCTGAAAAACCTCTGTTTGGTGGGTCATGTATTCCTAACACTTCGCCCTGCCCCTCTATCTCAACAAAAATTGGGACACCCTAACCCTGGACGTGAACGTGCAAAACAGAGGGCTAAGGGCTAAGTGGTGGGGCGAGGGGTGAAATGGGATTGGGCCAAAATGTGACTTACACAATGAAAATTATAGCAATAATCAACTTTACAAACAAAAGAAATTGATACTTCAAGCTACATTCAGTAAATGAACCCACCAAACCGTTAAATAATGAACATCACAGCAACTATAAATAACAAATCTAATAACTACAAATCTCACTAGGCTAATAAGCATGATATATATATATATATATATATATATATATATATATATATATACACACAACAGTGATCTTCATATGCTGCAGTTAATTTATGAGCATCTGCAATAAAACATTAGTTTTAGAAGTAGTTCTGCAGGACATTTATTGCTTGCTTATTCAAACAGAAAAGAGACCGCAAGTGTAATGTGTCCTTCTACGTCTAGATGGCCCAAAGAGCGTCTCAGTGTCCATCAGTCCCTCTGGTGAAATAGTGGAGGGCAGTTCAGTGAATCTGACCTGCAGCAGTGATGCAAACCCACCTGTGCAGAACTACACCTGGTTTAAAGAAGGTGGAAGCTCACCTGTAGGATCTGGACACAGTTACAGCGTTCAACCGAGAGGGTCCTACTACTGTGTGGCTCAGAATGAATATGGATCTCAGAAATCAGCTGCACTGAAAGTCAGTGTACAAGGTAATATTTATAGAAGAATGTTAATTAACCCCAAAAACCTTTATAACACTTCAAAACACATAACGTTAAACGTGTTTATTTTAAAACTGACTTCCACATTTCTCTGCACACAGCGGTTAAGAGTGTTGTTCTGTTTGCTGTTGCTGGGGTCGTTGCTGGATGTGGATGTTTATTTGTCATCACTGCTGTTTTGTATGTGAGGTATGTATGTGTATCTTGTCTGATCTGACTGGAAAAATAAACAGTTAATGTAGATTTTACCTACTGTTTCATCTTTGAAGCCAATTCTGACATTATTAATATTATAATTGATATTATATTTCAGGAAAAAGAAACAAGGAGATGCAGCTAATGCATCAAAACAAAGACAGGCAAGGCAACCAAAACACAATACCAGTTTTGCATAATGTTTCCTGTAGTGTTTGCTTTGTGATTTTATATTTTGACATTTTTAAAAACAGAAGCAACTATTTAGGACTGAATGTATAATCACTATGAATATCTTCTCATTATTGCATACACTTGATCACATTGCTGAAAAGCAAATATATCAGTTATACCAATCTCTGGTTTGGTGTTGAGAGAAAAAGAGAAAGTAGGTGCGTTAGTTGCTGATTTGTCATGTGTCATTATTTCTGACTGCAGAGAAATCACCACAATGATGTGGCAGTGAGATCAACAGCCAGTGATACAGCACCTGATCCAGATCCGTCCAATCAGGATGATGTTCCCTATGCCAGTGTTGTACCTCTGAGAGTCAGAAACCCCAGGAATGCTGAGAGCTCTGCAGTGACAGCTTCTGCCTTTGGTACTGATGAGGAGGTTCAGTACGCCAGCGTCCAGCACCGCCGTGATAAAGTGGTAGAGAACACGGAAGGAGACAACATTCAGTATGCTAGTGTAAGATTTACTCGTAGCGGTGTTACCAACAGGTGAGAGAAACTGACCTTATCAAACGGTCTAAGTGAGTTATTTTGTCCACTGTAACAGAAGAGAAGTTTAAATCACATTGTGTTTGATCTGTTGTTGCAGGTCTGCAGTTTCCACACTTGATGAAGTGATTTACAGCAGCATGAAATAAACAACTTTGCAGTTCTGTTCAGGACCAAAATTATGATCCATGAACACAGTTTTCATCAATGTCTATTGGAAATGCCACATTAACAGGATTCAGTTTATCACAACCAGATTACACATTTTGGATCAACCATTTTTTATTTTTTCTAGTACCATTTTGTGGATCAGCCCATCTGATAACAGCAGAAAGTTCATTAGACCTGAATTTCATCATTTCAGAAGGATACTCATGCCAAGATCTGCAAGGACAATTTGAAATTCCTTAAACATGACTCACCAGGACCATCCATAAAATGCCATTTTATTTTGGATATAAAACCCAAATAATCAACCTTATGATTTGTTTGACTGGAACCAACACTCAGCCGACACTTTGCTTAACCAGGATACAATGGTTTCTGCCCAATGACAGCTGGGATAGGCTCCAGCACCCCACCGAAACCCAGAAGGATAAGCGGTTTAGATGATGTATGTATGTATGTATGTATGTGCTAGACCAAAGTTTGAACACTGGCCATGTACTGGACCCTTTTTCGATCTCTACAGGACACAAAGTGCACCTGCAAAACCCGCTGGAGAACATGAAGCCCATCATTGAAAGTGCACTGTGAACATGAAGTGTACCATTGGAAGTGTGCTGTAAATATGAAGTCAATCGAAATAACTGCCAGAATTTTGTACCTAAGTGCTTGTGAAGAAAAACATGTACATCTTTTTGAGTCTCTGATATTTCCTTTACTTATTATTAGTTTGTACTGTTTAATTGAAAGTTGACTGTCCCCTTTATGTATTTTGTAGTGTTGGGGTTCTGACCATTATGTCTTTTACCAAACATGTATGCGGAGTTTATTCTGACAACAGCAGCTTTCTACTTCTATGACTGCCACATCAATAAAAAGCTATGTGATAAAGATGAGTGTACAGCTAACACGATTATTTTAAGATCTTCTGCCTCTAACTGCTTCAGTCACAAAGCTCAGGACAATAACTAGATTAGTGCTGTTTGTACGCTGTTTGATAAGAAAAAAGTCCATATGATTTTGTAACCACAATGTGAATCTCATGTACTTTTGGTCATTAATATTTACAGAAAACAGTTTAACTTCATATTTTGTGTATTGTAGGGAAAATAAACTTTGTGGATTTAGTCTCAGACTAAATTGCAGTACTAACAGTAAATATCTATTGTAAATTCTTTTTAGTCTAGGATTTGATTTAATCTGTATAAATTGAACCTATAAATATATGAAGAGTTAAAGCATGAGCGCTTCATTTTGATCTGTTAAACATTTACACCAACATACTGAACTGATGTGTGTGGTTTCTGCTAGACAAAGTGTGAGCTGAGCCCTGTTTTGATGATACACGGGATGTGACATCAGGGCTAAACTAAACATAACCCTTTCACATAAACATAACTGTGGTTGGAACTAGACTCTACAGCAAAGTAGCCCTCCAGGACCAAGGTTTAGGACAAGTGGTCTACAGACAAGTCATTTTCACCAAATTTATCCAGTAAAATCCCCCAAGATTTAAGGTATCCTTTGATACAAGATATACTTTTGTGGCCTATACCCAGAAACTCTTTTTCATCTATTTTGGCTTTGTGACCAAACTTAAAGGCTTTGGCAAAATATTTGTAGCTTTATCTTGGATTTTATTTATAACAAATCTGAACTTTATTTTGAAAATGTTTTATTTGGGCTTAGAAAATTACCAAAATGATTTGTAAAATAAATATTTCATATAATCTACTTATTTTGCTGGCAAAGTATTATATTCATAAATGTGAGGTGCAAAAGAGTAGACCCCTTTTTGTCACCTTATCAAAGAATACCATGTGAAATCTTCCTGTAATAAGAAAGCTGCGAAGAATAAGAAACTGAACCCTCCGGAAGCGGACTGGCATTCGTTGGCAGCCATGATTGTTTACCTCTGAATGAGCATGATAAAGTAGAGTCTGGCTACAGACATGCACTCTCAGCCCAATGATGTCACGTGCACATGCACTCTCTGCCACAACGGCAGAAGCAGCCCAACGGCACTTCAACATTTGGCTGCTTCTGCTTAGCGACATCATCACTTAATCCATTTTTCATCCATAACACAGCTAGAGAATTCTGTTTAATGTACCTCCCTGTTGAAAAAAGTTTTAGAACCCATTAAAAGTGTCTGTTGGGTGGTTTTCAGCAGTCGCTAAAGGTATTCTGTGTTTTCCTGATTGGTTGATATCACAGTGTAAATGATTCAAATCATTTAATTAGGTGTTCTGGGACTGATTCCAGTTACATTTGATAGTTTCCTAATAGTCTCTAATGGCAACCTTCAATCCAATTCCTGTTAGGAAGCAAAACCATAATGGTTCTAATGGTCTTCAGCATGGCTTTTATGAGTTTCAGTAGCCTGTTTGTTTTTTCTGCGAATGAACCAGACATTCATGTCTTATTGTCATGGTAGGTTTTATTGGTGGCATTTTTAATTACCTTATTATCAGTATCACAACGTTAATATATGTTCAGTGTAACTCTTGCTGCCCAACAGTTCATGGTTCACTGTTTTTCCTCATAAAACCTGAGGAAATAAAAACTGACGTCATCAATAGGCTCGTGGTGCATGTCAGGCTGAGAGTGCGTGTCTGCAGCCAAACACTTCTCACGCGCCACGTGAAGCATTGTCCTTTTGCGCATGTGGGTCAGTTCAGGAGCGTGATCTGTTCAGACTAATGTCGCATATAAATCACCTTTAAAAGATATTGTGAGCAGCCAAACAAAAAAATCTGATTTAGTGAGAAAAAAAACTTTTTTGTACATTTGAATGTTGATGCCATTAAAGAATGAAAGCCTAATTCAGTGAAGACAGGAAGAACAGGATGTGAGAAGACAACAACATTCTAACCACATTCAAGCTGACCACTAACGCTCCTTCCGTTGTTGTTCAGTAGATGAATGTCGCTTAATGAGAGTGTGTCAGTTGGTAAAGAACTAATACAAGCACTAATATGAGGCCTGTAAAAACTGCTCATAAGTCATGTTACATTTGAAACCGAGGCTTCCAGATGTGATTTGAGTACATAGACGTAATCCAAACTAAGCTCCATATTGAGGTGTGTATTACTTTCAGAGAATCACATAACTGATGAAACATGTGACTGCTTTGGTTTGTGTAACAGAAGACTGAAAATGGCCCCACCACACCCCATGCCACCCCAAATGTTTTGGGCTAGTGATCAGAGCAGATTTAGCCCCCAAAACAGTGAAACAACTTTTATCCTTGAAGAGAAACTAATACAAATTCCTTTCTAATCTCCAACACTTAGTTACACAAGCACTGTAAGTCTAAAGTCACATAAGCACTTTCAAAATTGTTCAGCACAAACTTTATGACCCTGCTCAGCTGCATTCGTTGATGGTTAGTATAGTTGTTTGTGATAAATACTGCTAATTCAGTATTTCAGTCCCACTGCTACACCATTCAAGGTGGAAAGGGAAAATTTGAACAAGAAGCTGGTGAAAAAGAAGCCAAATTCAGCCTTATGATAACTAACCTATTTTATATATGGCTAAAGTAGAATTGAGCCCCATGTTTGTTTCAGTTGAATTAAAATTGTATTCATTTAAAAATCTAACGTTAAATACTGTCATGCAATGCTTTTGCAGATATGGATGACTTCGTTCCAGCATTAAAGAAACGGGGTGTTCCCGATGACTGCTTGAAGAGGCTGCAAATAGACAATGTAAGCTATTGAAACATAGCTAAATGCAATTTTTTCCTCTGCAAACATGTGACAATGAAGTGAAATATATGGATATACATTACTGTAAAAGGTTTGGCTATGATGAGTGACCAAATCACATAAGGGGTTTTATGATACTATGATGAATTTTTCCTAAGCCCACTAGATGGCACTCTGACACCATGTACATACAGAATGTAAAATGTATAGAATGTGACCTAGAACAGGGGTTACCCGTTCTGGTGACCCTATGCTCTGCATGTTTTTTGTTTTCACTACAGTACATACCTGACCCAGCCCACAAGTAGCTGGCTAATTGTGTAAAGAGTTTAATTAGCTGGGCTTGATGAGACAAAGCACAGAATGTTCACAGTGAGAGGTCATGAAAACTGGAATTGGGAACCCTGGAACTAAAATATACAGCTTAAAGACAAATTTCAAGTTGGCCTAAAGGATTTTGTTTTAAGAGACATTTATATAGTTTTGTTTCAGCAGTCCATCAGTTTAGCAAAACCACCATATTTTAAATAATAAAAACATTGATACACACTGCAGCTGATCCCGGTATCTTGGGGTTTTTCACAATCACTTAAGACACTAAAACTGATTATACAAGTATCTTGAACCATTTCATCAGTTACCAAATGAGAGACTAATTTCCTGAAATTCCAGTCACTGTTTGCTGCTCTTGACATATGCTGCAGATGCTGCAGAAGATCCCTCTATAAGTCCTATAAAAATTCCTCTATAAGTTACACTATTCTTATCTGGAAACCACTAGCACTAAAAACAGTTCACACTAGTCAAACTAAACTGAACTCAATTGTTATAAAACTCTCTGTGTATAAACACTTACGTGTAAAATTGTCTACACATGACGCCAACCCGGGGACACATGGCCATGTTTACATCACACAGTGTGCAGGCAGTAGAAACAGTTTTGCCTTACTGTAAAAACTAATTTGGAGTTTTAACTTAAGTAACCTCGCTGTCTTAAAATCATCATATGCTGATTTTAGTTCTAAACTCTTTGGTCAATGGATATAATTTAGCCTAGTGTACAGGATGTGATGCATGTCGGCCCACTGCAGATGGCCCATCAATGTTCCCTTAGCTCGCGTCTTTCCTTAGTGAGGCAGCACACATCAGCCATACTTTAAAATTATGAGTTTGTGAACTGTAAAATGATGCACTGAATTTACATTTTTCAAATGTGTAAATCATTTCCATATGAATGAAATATAGGTCCCACTTTTTATTAAATGTCTCTA